AGTGTTTTTGTTTTTTCAATGCTTAAAGTTTGTATAACATGTACAAATATGTTTTAGATTACAAGSCTATAATTARCGAAGGGGTCGTTAAGAGATAGTGGATTTACGGTCTTYMTTTTGWGCTGAARCTATAAGCCACGGCAATAAGTGAATCTGATTAAGGATCACTTAGATTAAAAGTGTCTGAAAGCCTACACGATAGTAATGTCAGGTTTACTGCTGTGATCACTACACGCAAAATAGCTTTATAAATGATACCAAACCGGTCTTAATGTAAAAAGGTTCACAAATATTATAAAGGTGAGAGGGACTGGWACGGAGGAAGAGATGTGTAATGTAATATTTCAATATTTCATCAAGCCGACGGCCAATAGTCTGAATAATTGTAGTATAATTGACTTTCAAAACCGGAAAATTCGATTTAAAATGATCTTAAATTCAATCATCTCAATATGTGGTAAATGTACTCGATATTACATCTTATTTTTCGTTAACACCCGGCATTGAGCGTAATGGCTAATCGGCTCTACATTACGCTCGCTAATGCTATACAATGTCTRAAAACAAATTTCAATTTTAAAAACTCTTTTTACTACATCAGATCGTTGACAGCATTCTCTAAAAAAAGAATGTATTTTTCAGGCTTGCCCGAAAATAAAACGGGCATTTTCTCAAGCCCAACGTATATTCGGATGATTTTTTTTCTTCAGCGAAAAGACGGCAACCTCAATATCTACTGATCACTAATGCAGTAATCTACGATCTCAAAAAGTCATATTAGATAAATTACGTTATAAATCCTTCCTATGATTAATGCTTTAAGGTAGTAATTGCTCTTTTTAAAACACATCCTTAGTTCAAAATTCTTCTAGCCCTGTACGCTAAATCTAATAAAAGACCAGCACATTTCCGGAAAAAAAAACTCGCTGGCTTAATTCACTAAGCAATTAGCCCAAAGATCCGGTGCAAATGAACAGGTCTGATGAATACTCCACCTCTTGTTAAAGTCTTAAATGTAAAGCAATACCTAGGTTTACTCGAATCCTGAAATCCTTTAAGTTTACAACAATCGGGATTTCCTCGCATAAGTCAATACATGTACTGTATTCTAGACAGTTTGCATTTCATAGGCGATTTCATATTCGCACCACCTGCCGCCATTCTATTGGTAGATCTAAGAGTAAAATACCTGATAGGTAAAATGCTAAGTGATGTTACCTTGTTGGAAGTCGTTCTTAAGGAATTGTTTTAGTCGTTAAGGTATTGTTTACGGCAGATATTTAGTCAACAAACGCGGCGACGGCCAATCGATGCTTTCGCGGTCTTTAATTTGTGGTTTGGGCGGAGTCCGCTAAACACTTACTCGCTTTAACTCTAATCGGCGATTACTATAGCGGTCGTTGGTCTTTAGAGTGGAATAAGCCGACAAAACATATATAGTTTACATCTTGTTACAATGTGCAGCCGAGAACAATCGAATTGTATTCCGTAGCGCCCCATTTTTGATCTTTTTTGATTAGRTATACGCGCGAAGCAACGGCAGAAACTCGAACCCAAGCACATAATGTTGTCGTTCAGATCTCTAAACCTCATTAATTTACATCAAATTATTACATTTTGAACTCATTTTTTCTTTTATGGGTCAATACTTTCATCGTACAAGATTTTTTTGTCTTTTTTTTTTTCGCTTTCCCGGATGGTTTTTATAGCCTTTGTTCTTACACCGATTAACTCATATCAAATGTTACATTCAATGCTTAACAAAATTTCTAATTAATTCGCAAAGTGCTTTGTTATATTAGTTACAAGCTAATTTTCCAATTAGAATCAGTATTTTTCACTGAATTCAAAATAAAAAAAATCTTAAAATAGAAAGAAGMGTTTTTTTTGTACTTTGCATTCACCAAAAATTAAGWCAGAAAGCGGACAGAACAGAAAAAAAGGACTTTACAAAATGTAAGTTTATACTTATTATACACCAGTAAATACAAGGTAATGGTTTTCTTAAGTRTAATTTTATCCAAATAAGAGCAAAGGAGAAGTGTTTTAGCGAAGAAAGGAGTATTTTATTTCAACCTTTCACTCCCTACCTGTATTCTTTATAATCTAATTGAACCGAAGTGTCAGTAAACAATGGCACATCTACAGTCTGCAGGCAAAGAAGTGTTAATCGTATTTAGCTAAGTAATTGGCTAAAAACGAACTCTAGAACAATGTTGATTATGTTAAACAAACATTAGCAGGTCGCTTGTTTARAGCCTGATAATCAGATAGCTTTTAAATCAAGGAAATGTCGAGAAGAGAGACTTTGGTCGCCATTTTATTGTCATTTTTTCAAGGATTTATAGTAAGGTGTGCAAATAAACTGGTTTTGTAAAATTAACGGCGTTTTGTTTTGCAGTATTTGCGGCAAACAAAACCCAACAGGTGACTGAAACTGAATATGACTGACTTTTTTTAACAGTATAAAGAAAATAAAGTCGACTCTCTATTGTGCGAGGTACAGAGCAAACGGAATCAAATTGTTCTATTTAAGAACTATTTTTAGTTTTATTTTGTCTTGTAGGGTWATATATATCGTTTTTCTTACACATTAAGCTGAGTTCTTAATCTTGTACAAGAGCAGACASCAGATAAAAGTTTAATAAAAACAAAACAAAGTTTATTAGTGATGAAGTTAATTAAATTAAATATACGAAGTCAACGTAATCAAATCTGTGCATTTGTGCTTTTGTGTAAGGGTTTTGGCTTGTCTATAAGCGGAAAAATGGAAAATTATAGCAGGTCAAAGTCTAGCTTAATTCCTTATAATGACAAATTTCGTGTTTCGGGATGCACTCAAGAAAAAGATTACCTGGTTGCTCATGATCTGTCCAATTCAACCACGTGTATAATTGGGCGGTTTGTACTAGATTTTATATTACAACGCCTAAGAACTTTGATGGCCTTTAGATAAACCTTTCCATTTGGTCTATTGTGTTTAATCGGAAAGTCAAAGAAAGTTTGTGTATAGAGTTTAGTTTAATTATAAGTTACATTAAAAACTATTCTCTTCCAGCAAGTGAAAACATTGTACAATTATTCCATAGGAAGTTCTAGCGCAATTCGTATCACTACAAGTTAAACCAAAAAAGAACAACTTTCATTCAATTTCTCGTGAGAGTGGAATACTAAAAAGATCCCATGGTAATATGAGAGCGCCATATAACGATTAGTAATCACGACTTATACAGAAAGCACTGCCATTATTAAGCCCTTTGTTGCGGTTTGAGGTCTGTAGTCAAGAAAAAAGGAATTGATATCTCTAAGTAATTGGTAAAACCCCTCTTTCTTAAATCACTGAAATGTCATTGACATCATGCCGATGATAATTTATGGTAATGTAGTTAAGATAAAGGATTTGCTGTAAGTAGGTTTAGAGGATTAAGAAAAATGAATGGCAAATGTGCGCATTTGTAACAATAAGTGCGCAGGGAATTTACCTGATACCGCTGCTCAGGCTAACACTAACACTAACACTAACACTAACCCTAACCCTTACACTAACGCTAACGCTAACGCTAACGCTAACGCTAACGCTAACGCTAACGCTAACGCTATGGACGATAGCACTATGGACGCCAATTACTAACAAATTTCCAAAGATTTTCAGTACTAATTTTAACGCAAAACATAATTAAGAATTTTGCAATTTAAATTAACTCGATCAATCTTATAACTTTRGCAAGAAAAAATATAAACAATGACATTTGATGCAATTGCTAAAAATAAGACTAGGCGAGGAAAGCAAAACTGGGAGAGGGGTCTAAATTAAGTGCACCATAGACTTAAAACGAAAATGTTACATTTCACGCAAGGTGGTTACATATAATAAAATCTATGATAGAAAATATTTACTAGGGTTAGGATAGTTTTAAATCAATAAAATCACCAGTCAAAACCCGTTGTCCAAGTAATTTGCAAGTATTCATTAATCAATCAATGATGTTTATTCAGGTTTACTGGATATCTCATACGAGTCCATTGCAAAATCATACTTTATAAAATTTTTGATATGTAACGTGCGCTCTGATTGGCTGACGACCGTGTTTATAAATACTATATCAGATGACATGGACAGGTATATGAGGTTTCAGGATTATCTATTCCGAATTTAAAAAAACCCGAAATATTATACATAGAACATTGAAACGTTGAATTCTAAAGATAGGATATTCATTGTATCGCCACGTAAATGAAGTTTTCTTGGTTTCAGTGACTAATCCAGTTCCGTACAGAATAGTAATGCACAAAGCAATAATATATGTAGTATATGACTATGGTCTCCTTCGAAGCCTCGTTTTATTTCGGGCTTCCTGTCCCTTTCCAATAAGGAAGCCCAATATAGGAGTAGGTCGGAAGGAGACTATGTAGTATTCGGTATTCAGTCGAATTTTTTTGAAATCGCGGTATGCGAGTTGAATTTGAATAATTTGCATTCAAAAAATCCGTTTTGATGTTATTTCCATTCATTTGTTTTCGTTATTCAAGACAGTTAACTCTCTTTGAACGACCACTCTAGTAAGTGACCATCTCCCCCGTAAGCGACCACCTTTTAAATTTCCCGTTTTGTTCAGTTTTCCATATAAACTCGGTTAAAAAACTTTCTCGTAAGCGACCATCTCTCGTACGACCACTTTTTCCTGATCCCAAGGTGGTCGCTTACGAGAGAGTTGACTGTAATAAGAATATAATCATCACTATATGATGATGATGATGATAATGGTTTTAATAACAAGATTAACAATGATGTTATAAACGTCCAATAGTCAAAGCATTTTTTTTTTTTCATTTATCCAATATACCATAGATGTTTTGGCTTAAAATACCGATTATTAGTTCGGAAAAGCTGAACCAATAAAGCTGCTTTACTCCAATCAAATTTCTCTTAGAATGACAATTTTTGCGAAGGCGCTAACTATAGGTCCACACACAACTGAAACAACAAAACATTAAGCTATCCGCTTAGTTAATCTTCCGAAACTACAARCTTTTTCTYACAACTGCTTCAAGAAATCGCAAAATGGCCGTGTACGCGGTCAAAGTGYCTCATTTTTTCGTTGGTATTCTGGCTCTTGCTGCTGTTGTTACCGCTTCAAGAATGCATCAGCCTCTTGCAACCCTTCTTAAGACAGGTAATACTGTTTTCAGTAAACATTAATTGTACAAACAGAACATTGAGTTACAGTTGAAAATATAACTACTAGAAGCGCGATAATGTAATGATGAAAACCCTTTTTCCCTGGGAAATTTGCACTTAAAATGATTAGATAATTAGATAATTAAACTATTAATTGACCTTATTCTTGTTCGARAAAAGAAAAGCTTTAGRAATTTAGGAATTAATTAAAATACAAAAGATAGGATTCAGCAAGTTGACTGGTCTTGACTCTGTAATGTTCCCAAATCTYCTATAACAGGTAATACAATTAGACTACGAGGTCGACTCGACTTCGTGTTGATAGACCTTGGCTACGAACTCGTAGTTCAAGAGACCGAGTATCTACTATAGACCCCTTGCATGTGACGTCAAAGCAGCTTCATCTGGAGMACAAAKCAAAAGATTTTTAACCTCTTGGGAACTAGAATCCATTGTTTTGTCCTCCAGTTGGAGCCGCATTCCCATGAACTGCAAGGGGTCTATAGGGCAACTTTGAAAAAAAAGACCATAAACTACCAAGATTTTTTAGATTCGATTCGATTCGATGTGATTATGGTGTATCATTTATATGCCATAGTAAGACAGCCAATCAGAATGCTTTATTTTGATCGATTAGCCCCACAGTTGGTGTGGATACTAAACAGGGAGCATATTATAATAAAGATTGTGGGATATCAGGCGAATATTTCGACTACGATGGGCGTTTGACTAGTTAGTATTCAAAGTTCAATCACTTTCTTGTTTTTTCATTGCATTTTCATCACTGAATAATATAGTCATTATCATTTACTTTTTATCATATTTAGATATTGAAACGGATTACAAACAACAATAATGTTAGAACTGCAAAATCACTCTTGGTGGGCTCGAAAAAGGTCCATGGTCAACCAGCATTCATTACGGTCTTATTTTAGATTTTTTACATATGAAAATGAGGTGACTTCATTCCAAATCCGTATCAATCAAATGCTATTTCTACACTTTTCAAACACGAACAAAATAATACCTGATGACCATAGTCCTTTAATGGGAAATGCTCAAAGTCTTCAGTACTCCCTTTGAATTTTCAGTAAACGAGAGTGGTTTTATTATAATCGTTAAAATTGTGAATGACGGTCGAAAGGAATTGTGTGTAAATATCAATTTAGGTCGTAAAGCCTTTTGCGGTTGTCAACTGTACTAGACGGTACTCAACAAAGACTTTCGATGGCAGGTTGCATGGTCTGTGTGTAGCAGTTGACCAAATATCGTCTGATTATTTGAATACCCATAGTACACTGTGATATCAGACCCACAAATTAAATTACAAGGTGAAATGATTAGAATCAACCCTTCCATCCTCCCTGATTCGCCCTTGTACCTTTAGTCATATTAACTACTAAGTTTCCATAATCATTTCCCCACAAAAAATGACCACGTTCTTTCTTTTTTGGATAAAAGCCATTAAAAAGCCATATAGATATATAAGCCAATGAATTCGCGGGCATTTTTTTTTTTTTTGCTTTCTCAGTTCTTGTAGACAGTTAAAGACAGCTGTTTACAGGGGACTCCTGAATCACACTGTCTCAGCGTCGTCTTTCTCAGCCAAAAAAAAAATCCTGAGAGGAGAGAAAAGGGGGGGCAGCCTTCGTGTTTTCTCCTAATGAATACTGAATTACAGAGTGAGGCTCAATTGCAATATCGTAGACTATATTAAATAATACTATATAATATAATGTTAAAGAAAGGCTGCAAAATTCTACTTTCCGTTTTATCTTTGTGCTTTTTCTACAGATTCAGAATATAGGAATGACCCTGAACCCATTATTCTTCGCAAGGAAGASGCTAACAATTTTCGTAAAAGTCCAGGCAGAAGAGTAAGACGTGATTTGTGGGAAGAATGCTTCGACGAGGGTTGTAGCAAGGAAGAGGTTGAGGAATCATTGGGAGGACATGCGTTGGTAAGAAATAGACAGAAAAATGAACCTTACCCGATTTATATATTTTTTCTAGCAGTCGTACTAAAAGTCGATCTATACACACACTTCAAATATAGTAAATTTATATGATATTTAATGATTCAGTTTCTTTGAGAAACCATTTTGGGATCACGGGTCACTTGCTTAGTATTCATAAGTAACAGGGAGGAATTTCAAAACTGAGAAATTTTACTCACCAATTTTAAGAACGCGATTAATATATTCTATATTTAGGATCACACCTGTAAAAGCACTTTGTCGATGAGCACTTCTCCCCTCTCTTCCTCTGCWTTTCATTTGCCACCATCTTGAATCGAAAATAAAATCGAAAATAGTAATAAAAATATCAATTTTCCACAATTCAAGCTGGCTTTCTTGATGAAATGCTCCAATTGCGTTTGAAGCACCAATCGTCGTAATTCAAACCAGACTTCTCCTTGTTTTTGTGGTCTCTTGTTCGTTGCTCTCAATCGGTATGATCTCCTCAGCCTTCTTTTAGGTCAAAAAAATGMTTTTTATTAATTCCAGTACCAGTATTACTATGGCTGGAGATGTATGAAGTTGTATGGTTGGCAATGGACATACAGTTATAACCCACATCGTCTACAGTGCCACAACTCACTAAGTAAGTGACCAACCGACCAACCAACTTAACAGCCAACCAACTAAACAATCAACCAACCAACCAACCCCAACCAACCAACAAACCAACCAACTAACAAATAAACCAATTTAACAATCAAAAAATCAACCCCAACCAACCAACTAATCAACGAACCAACCAACAGTTATAACCAACCCAAACAATCAATTATATACAAACTTTATACAGCATACCATAGTATAATCACGTGAGTCTTCTGTACAGGAAGCCTGAATACCTGTGCTAGTGGTGCAACGGGTATAGGCACTAGAATTGCTAAATCAATTATGTACAAACTTTATACAGCATACCATAGTGTAATCACGTGATCTTCTGTACAGGAAGCCTGAATACCTGTGCTAGTGGTGCAACGGGTATAGGCACTAGGAATTGCTATTTTGGTAGTGCTAAGAATGTGTATGCTATTTATATGGAAAACGGCTGCAATGACGGTGAATTGGGAAACTTTAGACTGAATTTCAACGATCCATCAAGAACTGTTCGGTAAGTACAAGAACCAGCACTCAWSGGAAAGATCTTATYTAATATATCAATGTTAAAAGTTCATCTGCTCAATTCACAAGGGGCGTCCTCAACATCAAATACGCACATACGTACCTGGGAAATGGTAAAATGAGAAGTCCCAATGTGTTATTAAATAAGTGTTAGTGTGCTTTTTTGCACCTGCAGACCTCCTGAATCCYCCTCCAACTACCATTTTTCACTAAATCATAGAGGGAAACCATAAAGCACCGCTTGTTCATTCTTAGAACAATTTCAGAGCAGAATGCAGGAAACTTTTCCATTTCCAAACGTTCAACATTCCATAGTGTTTAATWTTTACCTATCTAGGTACGTTTATAACGTTGGATGCCGAGAAAAGAAATCTATTAGCATGGTGAGAGGAGCGACGAGCTATTCTGCAACATTAATTGGCGGCGGTGGTGGTGATAGGTGGATTAAAAATCATAAACTGGGCTGGTTTGGATACAACTGTAAGTCCWAATACTTTCACTATTCTATTTTATTCCAGTCTATTCTAGTCAATCTTCTTCTGTTTAACACAATACCATTTCATTATTTCCTGTTCTTATTTCAGGCATTTTTTTTTTCATTTTGTTTTCACGCTATTTTCTATAACTCGTTTCATTTCATTTTTATTTTTGTTAATCCTGTTTTATCACATTAATTTTATTCTARTTAATCCTGTTCGTTTTATCATATTCTATGCAAAGATTCGATCTTTACTCAATTCCTTTCAAAACGCGCGTTATTAACACTGCCTAACGTCAATGTTCAATCTTTTGCATATTGAAGAAACACAGACAAAAATAGTATTTACCAATGATACTTTATACGCGTGCTAATAAAAGATTTTAATGATTCACTAGCTTATTATTGAAATCAGTCCTGTTTTATAATCACAGCTAAGTACTGCGGTAATCCAGGGACGCCGTCCAACGGTTACTTTAACGGGAGAAATTACTTTGAGATGAGTCACGTGACCTATGGTTGTCGGTATGGCTARACTCGTGTTGGTAATTCTAAACGAACTTGCAGGTGGTATGGATGGGATGGCTCTCTTCCAGCATGTAAACGTAAGTTAATTAAAAAAAATAAACTTGCAGAGCAGAGTATGACGTCAAAAGGCAATGATATGCCATAGAAATTTACTGCTCGTAAAGAAACATGAAGAAACCGAGAAAACTAATTCTCCTAAATGAATAGGTTAGGTCTAGGCAAAGTCTCGGTCAGAATTCAATTAGTCAAGTCTAGTTTTGTCCTAGGAAAAGTAGCTAAGGCCCGTGGCCAAGGGCTTCCTGTAAAAACCCTTCGCCCATACCCAATTTAATGCCCATAATTATTCAACTGCTTGAGAAGACCTAAATATAATGGTTATGTCATTAATAGGTATATGTGARGCTGGTACGTTTTCATCGACCGGATATGAGCCCTGCAGTCCTTGTCCTATTGGAAAATATAACCCTCATAAACGACAAACCTCTTGTTATACATGTCCTAATGGGAAATCCACTAGTTCAACAGGACGAAGATTTGAAAGCGAATGTCACCGTAAGTGTTTGTGAATGTCACTTCTCTGCCCCTGTTAGTAAACTACCTAATACCATTGCCAGTATAAGCCATTATAGTGAGCCTCTAAGTGTAAATATTATCAAAAATCCTTTCATTAATTTCATTGCGCACTACAAAATTTGTTTTTTTCTTTTGTTTAGACAAATGTTCCAAGGCCGTTTGCACTCTCCAACAATGGTCACAGTGGGTAGATTCATCGACGCCATTTCAAAGCAGCTGCGCCTCTCAAATACGCACACGAAGGTACCTGACAAGCTGGACTCAGGTCCTGGATCCAAATGGCTGTGCATCAGTGAACAAGAAATGTCCATCTGATCTGACAGAACGTAAACAGAAAGGTATGGTGGTAACACCGCACTTATCACCGCTTTCTTGTTTGTGCGAACAACAATCATTTCTCTGTAAATACAAATTTCCGAAATAATGCTAACCGGTCAGAGTATTACAATTCGCGCTGTAAAATTTTGTGAGTCACATATTCATCATACATATACATCACTTATTCTTGTTTATTAGAGGTGTATTGTGACCCCTTAACGAAACCAGAGTTTGGATACTACCTTCCTGCGGGTTGCTCAACTACCAAACAGGCATGCAAGTCTACTAGCTCGTCTACTTGTGTATTCCATTGTAATAATGGCTTCCAGAGGGTTGGTAAAGATTCCGACATCAGGAGAGTTTGTAAGGCTAATGGACAATGGAGTTATTCAGAGGCAAAATGCAAAGGTGTGTTTTGAATTGAACTAATGATGGGGTTTATTGTTTATTTGATATGTTATTTGATATTGTTCTGCATTTGTATAATTTAAAACCAATCAGCCAACCAACTAACTAACTAAACAAACCGAAAACAAACCAACCAACAAACCAACCTAGCATCCTTCACAGACATCTCCTTTATTTCTTTAAGATATCGGGCTTCCTGTGTTGAGGAAAGGAGACTGGGAGCGAGCAAAAATAAATAAGGYGGAGGGGGAGGGAAGGAAGAAGGGAAAGAGGAGATGCCTATTCCCCTCCCTCTTTTCTCTTTCTCGCCTCCAGTCCACACTCTGCCATATCCCTCATTACCACAGGAATCCCAAAAAGGAGAAAAAGGGGAAAAAGGAGTAGCTTGCAGAGGAAGCTAAGATCAACCAAACAACTAAAAGCATTTAAAAAAKCAACCAACGGACCAACCAAGCAACTAAACCATACAAGAAAAAGAACAACCAAACCCAAAACAACCAACCAATTAGCCAAAACAACCAACCAAATAATCAACCAACCAACACACCAACCAACACACCATCCAAACGACTAAACCAACCAAACTAAAGCAACAAACCAGCAAAACCGAACCTGGCAGCCAAGAGACCAACCAACCAACCAACAGATCACCCAACCGACTAAACCAACCAAACCAAACCAACCAACCAACCAACCAAACCAAAATAACAAACATAACAAAATACCAACCAACAACAAGCTAACTACAACGTTTATTTTCCTCGTCTTCTTTCTTATACTTTTCGTAGCAGTTGATTTGCATACATCATTGCATACTAACAACATGGTATTACGTTTTATTATTTTATTTACCATTAGATGTTAAGGCGCCCTCAATAACATGTCCAAGTAACGTMGAAGTTGGAAACGACGATGGGAAGGCATTTGCACGAATAACGRTGCCYATGGCAACAGCAAGCGATAATTCTGGTAAACCACCAGCAATTCAAATCGCCACTTCCAACATACAGGCTACTCAAGACTTCTCAATCACTGAAAATCCAATCAAAGTGGAGTATAAAGCAGTAGACGGAGCTGGTCTTTCTGATACTTGCGGCTTTTACGTTCATGTGAAAGGTAAGAAACCAAGGGATATATTGGGATCAWTGCTGCTGGGATTGGGATCATTTCCGAGTCAGGGATCAGAATGAGTCAGTCAGTCATAAACATCTATGCTAATGATGTACGTATGTTTTTCAGATGTTGAGAAACCATCTGTTTTGTACTGTCCGGCAGACTACAGCGTCCTCACAAAAGACAGACCKCTGAATATTGTTTTCAAGGAACCAAAATTCAAGGATAACTTTGATTCTACCCCTAAAATAAAAAGCTCTCACACTCCTGGACAAGAATTCAATTGGAATACTTATAAGATTATGTACAATGCAACCGACAAAGCTGGSAACATGGCGTCTTGTTCATATAATCTGCAAGTTGGTCGTGAGTATCAGACGATMCACTGACATTGGAAATCCATTTATTTTGTATCGAATTGTCCGTCCGTGCGCATCTACGAGAGGCTTTGCGCAATGTTTTCTCATAAGAAATTGCTATTGCAAACGAGCACGCACTGGAAGAGTTGAACAGTTTACAGAGATTGTAAATTTTCTTTAATTTAGTATTTACAGACTTGAATTGATCTTATAGGATAGTCGAACATCTGTAAATTGAAGACTCTGTAAATATTCTGCCAAATGTCAGTTATCAGCATTTACGGACTCTTCTATCCAAAACTTCCTTCGCCGCAGACGATAATCTTCATACTAAATAAAAAAAATGGACGATTTCAAATGTCTCAAAAACTCGGAAATATTTTGTCTTGAAAATACGAGTAAAACTTTCCTCTAATTCATCCCAATTTCAATATTTTAGCCTTGAAATGCACTCTATACGAGCCCCCTGACAACGGAATACGAGCCTGTAATATCAAGTTCAGTGGTGTAAAACAAGAATACGTATGCACAGTTCAATGCAGGGACAATTATGACTTTGTGACCGAGCCTCAATATCATTCTTACAACTGTAAAGAAGATGGCAAGTGGTATGGTTATAAGATGTTCAACTTTTTTCCCCTCACCATCCAACCTGGTGGAAAGCCMTGGCCTGAATGCTCCGGTTAGTTTTCTTATCAGAGAAGGGAAGAAGGGAGAATAATAAAATATGAAGAATTATTAGTTGAGACTGAGCATGATATGGGGAATTATTGATCAAGGTTGAGTATGATATAAAAGTTCTTGGATAAGGACGAGCATGATAAATAGTTAATGATTGAGGCTGAGTGTGATTGGGGTTGCACGTGATTGTATTATCATAATAAACTGAGGAGCGTCTACAGAACACTTCCAAGGAATGCTAATAAGGAAATGAAAAGGATAAAAAAACATTTAATCAGTTAAGATACCGAATATAAGGACCGCATAGCACTATGATAAATTGAACATGATATAGAATTAAAAGAAAGGAATAGTGCTTAGGAAGAGGTTATTTCGGGAGAAAGACCCTTGGAAATAAATTCGGGAAAATCCGAGGGTCGTGGGTTCGAATCCAAGCGAGMTCGCAAATTGATTTATTTCTAAGGGTCTTTCTCCTGTCTCCAGAAATAACCTCCTTCTAAGCACCATATCATTATTCAATTAATATCATTTTCAGTAAAAAGTGCTCCAACCGGAGTAACAAAGAAAGCAAAGATCTACGCAGGAACTTGTCTATCTGGTAATGAAGCAACTCAAAAACAAATAAAAGACAACTTCATCAACTCGCTCAAGCAAGATTACTTCATGAATACTATGATCTGTTTGTCCAGTAACAACGTGGAATGTCAGTATGACAATGTCAAAGTAAGCATGCGCAAAATCGATAACGCTGAGGCTAGATAGCGGGCGCATGTTATGTGAGGGGCATTGAAGTCTTATTCATTTCTGATATCTTTGTTTTGCAGGTGTATTGTGGCAAAAATAGCAAACGCAAGAAGCGTGGCCTCAGTGATAATGCCTTCGTTATTGAACTGGATTTTGATTTGTTGGATCTTTCTCCTTCGCCAACAGAATCTGAAGAAAGGCTTAAAATCAAAAGCTACGCAGACAAAATAAACCAGAATAAAAACAAAGTAGAAGAATCAATGAAGGTAAAAAAAAATGCAAGTAACGCATTCTTTAAGGCATTCAGARTAAAAATCTGAATAACAATGAAAATGCGCAAGGCTCTCTGGTAGTTGTAGTAAAGTTACGTCATAATGCAAARGGCCTATTGAACTCAAATGAGTTCACAGATAAAGTCAAAAAAGCTGTTATCCTTCACAAATTTGTAAGGTTTCTAATGAGTCGAGGGATAAAACAATGCTCATGCATTGTTTCCTTGTTCTTAAATTCTAGTGTATTATTTAATTTAACAAATAGCTAGTAAACCAATCAGATGGGATTGCAAAACAGTGAAGGATAGCCCACCAAAAAGGCCAATAGCGGGAGGTATTCTAAAAAACTAAAATGACATTTTTAAATCCTGAAGCCTCGCTAAGCGCACTGAACAAATTAAAATAAATCATATCTAAGTAATCACTATAAGTAAGAGTTAGTTACCGAGAACGGAGACATTACGCTATATACAGCCCGAGGGCCGCAGGCTCGAGGGCTGTATATAGCGTAATGCCGACGTGCGAGGTAACTAACAAACTTAGTTTTCAATAGCCGACTTTAGATATTTTGGTTCAGTGACCATGCACAAAAGAATTGCAGACGAGGCTCCGGGGAAATAAAGAATAAAACGATATTATACGCTCTTTGATTGGTCATTTTGAAGCGTGCACTTCAAAATAACTCTTTGCAATATTAAAAAAAANCAGTCATTCTGGAAACGATGTCGAACAGTGACGATTTGTTTATAGCTCAAAATACGTTTGACATCATTCCTTTGACGAACTTTGATATTGACGATTTGCTATCGGATTTGGAACTCCGCATGCTTCTTCCCGCAAATAACGATGACAAAGTCTGCAGATGGGAAAAAATGAGAAAAATTACAATAGTTTTTGATGTTGAACTCGCTCGAAAAAATACGAGGGAAGGATTCAAGAAGGAACAAACTAAAGTACCAAATGGCCGTGTGTACGTGCTTGGATAGAATGGACCAAGTCACACCGATTACTTCTGATTCATACACGTTGGTTAATTCCGAAGAATAGATTCTTTTAAAAGTAACGGCGAAGATCTTGGTTATTGTTGTCTCTATTCTCTGATGAACATATGAAGAAAAGCTGCGGGACTCGAATTTATTACACTCTAAATCTCCTCAAGTTTTGCTGACCGTACTGGTCTTTTTTAGGGGAAAAATAGTTTAGTTTACTTAGTTTATTTGATGTTCAGCAGGGAAATGTGGGGTTGATGAATTGAATTGAATAACTCGTTATAAATTCAGCGGGCTATATGAGTGATTCCGGTCACTCATATATAGCCCGCTGAATTTATAACGAGCTATTCAATTCAATTCATCAACCCACATAGTTTCCCTGCTGAATATCAAATCCCTCCCCGGCTTTAAGTTTCTATGGTATATACAACCCTATGAATAACAAAGAAAACCTAGTGAATTAGAAACTAATTACACAATTCAGTTTACAAAAAATTAACCATGATCGTCTAGTGATTAAAAACAATGTATMTTCAGTGTACTTTAATCATAAAAACATCCAAACGGAGTCACAAACTAAAATTTCACATCTAAACGTTTTCTTGATCGCATTCTGATGACATATTTTGTTTTTGACAAAGCGTGCAGCAGCCTCTGCAGTAAAAGTRCAATCAAACACCGTTGATGTTGAAGACGACCAAGCCATCACTGGAGCATGCGCAACAGGAAAGGTTGTAAGAATGAAAGGTGGTAATGGTTCGTACCTCGATCGATCTGAATGTGGTAAGACTTGCTATTTAATCTTATTCTTATTTTCATCAATTTTACGAATGTAAATTCACAATGAAAGAACACATAGTCTAAGTCCACAAGAAGCATTTTAGAAGAAAAAAACTTTTTTGGATGAAAATGACAATTCAAAAGGAATCATGTGTAACTTTATATTAAAAATTACTAACACGAGGCAAGAAAAACCTCATTGTGATGGATTTGTTTCTTCAGTTGACTGTAGCGCTGGTACGTATTACGACAAAATCACAAAGGCTTGCATTCATTGTAAGAAAGGACATTATCAGGACCAAGAAGGGCAACAGAGTTGCAAGTTATGTCCGTCAGGTACAGATACGGTGGCTGCTGGAGCCAAAAACATTAAAGAATGTAAAGGTGAGCCCATCACTAGACTCTTAAAACAATAAAGAGGCGTAAGTCGTCTGTGAAAATCAGTGAACAGGAAATGAAGCGTTKAAGGAAGCGTGAAAAAGAACAAAGAAAGCTGGTAACAAGTCTTTCGTTCTCCTTCTGTTGATGTTTCGACCGTCTTTTTTTCTCGAGCTTTCTGCGCTTGTTTCACAATTAAAAACGCTTGATATTTCTTTACTTCAAAGAACAATCATTTCTTAGATAACCAACCGCTGATAGCACTGTTTACTGTAAATTATTCGTGTAGCGTATTGTTCCAAGGGTGAATACTCGGTCAGTGGTCTATCATCATGTACAGCATGCCCAGTAGGACAATACCAACCAAATGCTCGCAGCACATCGTGTCTACGATGCCCTACAGGGACAAGCACTTTGGACGTCAGGAAATCATCTCTGGAAGACTGCAAAAGTGAGTAGATTTTTTCGATTTCCTGTCTTTTCTTAGTAAATTAATCATCAGTTGACTCTATGTATTTCAGTTGGTTTTAGTTTAGAAGTGAGTTTTCCTCACAAAACTCACAAAGAAATAAATATTTCAGCTATTACAAAAGTAGGAATAATGGAAAGGCTTTTGTAGATCGGTGCATTGAAAGAATTATGTGATAAAACAACCAATTGAAAAAGACCGAAGCAATAGATGGATTTTTCCTTACTCTTATGGCATCCCAAAGACGGCGCAGCTTTACGATATTCATCATGGAGAAACTATTGCAATGGATAGTATTTTAAGTAAATAAACATTGAACCAACAACAACAGCCACTATTACAAAAACAACATAATCATTATGGACAAGAGCAGCAACAACACTATCATCATTATCAACAACAACAACAACAGTAGCAACAACAACAACAACAACAACAACAACAGCAACTCAACAAATTAATTTGGTCGTTATTTTATCGTTTGTATTTGTATATTCATAATAAGAACATATTTGTGTATCTATGCATTGGTTTACTCTTCTCATCTTCAACCTCAGTTGCAAGACACGAAGTACATAAGACGTTTGCAACGGAGGCTGCTTCTCTCGTCGTTAATGAGAAAGAATATTGTAACATTCAAATTAAATCAAATCCACATATATATTTTTTAGGATTTTGTTCAGCTGGATATTTCTCGGTGGACGGTGGACTAGGTGCTTGTGTGCCCTGTCCACGAGGAACTTACCAGCCAAACGCAAAAAGAAGCAGCTGTATTAAGTGTCCTTCCGGTATGACCACCGTTGAAGATGGAGCATCTTCGTCCGCACAATGCAAAGCAGGTCAGCGAATAGTTAACTTTTTGTTAAACATGACTGTGAAAGGCGGAATTTTAATCCAATTTGCAAGCATAAAAGCTGATTGATGACAACGAGGTTCCATGTGATACGATAGATAATGTAGATCGGTCCTCCGTTCTTTGGTACCTGAACATTAATCCAGAATATCGAATGCTCAGATCGTTCCCAGAACCCATGCAATCTCCTTTATCGCATGCGTGATGCAATTATGGAATTCTGGACAAATATCAATGTCATAACGACCTGAATCAGGCTTCCCTACGAGCAGAGGGTTTTTCCGCACCACGTCTGTAGATGGGGATGGAAAAATCCTCTGCTCGCAGGGAAGAATTAGTCTGTTACAACTCATGTACAGCACACACGACTTGTGTAACGACTTAGTCAAATTTGTTCGCTTATCCTTAAAGAGCATATGACATAAAAACAGTTTTTTGTCCATTGAAAGAACGCTATTCAAAAACCTCAAATCTCGGGTTTTAACCAAATCTGATAAAAAGCCGCAAAGTTATGAGCGTTGAAAGTTGTGATTTTTCACCCAAAATTTGTCCTCTTTTTCCGCTCGGCCAAACGCGTCATATGACGTCATTTTGTTGGGTCGCGATCTGTTAGTTGCAAAGATGGCGGTCGAAGTGAGCAGTTCATCTCTCAAAAATCGAAAATACAAAGGCAGATATTACGTGGCAGGATATAGAAATAACATTAGCTGCAAAAATAACAGTTATACTCTAGATAAATGATGTTTCCATTACCAAGCGACCCAGGATTACGTTAAAAATGGACAAAGTTTGTCGCGGACTTCAAGCTTCGAAAAAGAAAAACATCTCGTTGTGCTCGGCACATTTTAAAGAAGAATGTTTTACATTCGATCGCCGCTATTGAATCTAGTTATATTGAATTATTATAACCTATTAACTATGTTATAACTACAACTAACAATAACCTTTTTTTAGCGTTTCAAAATCCGATCGTGTTCAAGCTACTGAAACACGGGTTGGCGTCGCCGGGTTCTGTATTATTACATGTAAAGCAGACATTTTAGCGGTTAGTAATATCTGAGTCAATACGCATCATTTTCAAGTACAATCCAAGTGTTGGTTTACAGAATTGAGGTTCTATACACCCATGCATCGAAAACTAATTTCCCTTGAACAGTTTAAGCTTGCTTCTAAAACAACAACAGAACAACGATATTCTGAGCCATGTATTCTGTTCGTGTTCTGTTCGCTGCTAGACTCTCATTAAGGTTACTGTTTCTWTGTTTACATACTTTTCGCTTCAATAAAGCCAAACAGCCTGTAATATAACAAGAGTTTTATACACTTCTCTTCGAGTCAAAGTTTGTTTATATAAGTCATAAGGATCTTCGATGCTGGTCTGATATACCGCGATTCTATGTCGATCACTTCAGCTGATTTTACCTATCTTTTTTATCCTGAATCGCCATAATTTCTTCTGATTCTGACTATTCTATATCCACATCGGTAATGCATAATAACGCGCTAGTTTCTGACTCACAGTCCTATATATTCGAAAGAGGTTTTACTGGCGCGAAGAGAAGATTGCGGAGTGCAGTAAAACTTAGCCAAAATGACGTCACAACGCTAGGATCCAGTCCCCCAAAATGGGACAAAAATCAGGGGGAAATTTCTAATTTTAAATAGCTGTAACTTGGCAGGTTTTTATCAGAATTGAAAAATATTTTAGATTTAGGGTTTTCAAATACCGTTRTTTCACTGGACAAAAAACTGTTTTCATGWCATATGCTATTTAAACAAATGGGCTTGAATTTTATCTTTATGTAGTGAGTGTGAGAGTACAGGGTCCGCAGTAATTGGCTCACGCTGTTGCGGTGTCCCTGCCCATACTAGYGGCAAAGCTAATAAATTAAATTAAAATTAAATTAAATTYTGGAAATTATTTTTAGCGTTATTTTGTATTGTTTTGTAGAACCAGTTACACAGCGATATATATTTTTCCAGAGCAATTTTTTGTTAAAGTTAGATTYAATTAATTTTAATTGAAGTTTCACCAGGCCTGCCCAGTGCGGAATATGGATCTGGCAGAAGAATGTGATTTCCCTCTACAATCACACAAATAATTAGGTATCCCTGCTTCCAAAAAAAGTATAACATAGATGAATTTATTGTCCAGCTAAAACAAAAACCTCGGTAAGAGTTGGAAAGAGAAATTGACGGCAATCTCTTCTTATACAAGGTGTTCTTTCAGGTCAGTGTGGGATGGACTTTGAAAATGGTATAGATCACTGGACAAAAACCGGCACAGCCTTCAACAACCAACCAACTTACGGTGACAACCCTAGAAGTCGTAACCGAGAGTCGTCACAACACCAGGGAAACTGGTGGATAGGTGGATATGAAAACCGTCCCAGTGCCTCGTTGCCTGGTGGTCAAGTCCAAGGTGATGGTCCTCAGGGGACTCTGACTTCCCCTGTGTTCTCGATATCAGGGAAAGAGCTATCGTTTTTAGTGGGTGGTGGATGCGATATTAACCTCGTTCGTGTTGAGTTATTAGTTGAAGGTAGCGTTGTTCGTAAGGAGACTGGGAAGTGTTTTGAATCGATGACCAGAAAGTATTGGTCGGTGTCTGAGTTTAAGGGAAAGATGGCGCAAGTACGATTGGTAGATCATAGTAGTGGTGGATGGGGACATATCAACTTTGATGACTTGAGAGGTGATACTTGCATATGAGGTAAAGGAGTAARATAATTAGTTACTTGAGCGCAATTCTTTAACATCATGCTGTTAGTTAACTGCGAAAAAGATTTTCTCAGAAATCAATAAGGCTCTCAGACGATCAATTATTTGTACCATAAGCCTTTTATTTGTTATGTTTTAATTATAATATTTACTTTTTAGCTTTGAAAAGTACTACCCGAAAATGGACTGTGTTTTATGGATTAAACAGAAATTTGTTGTAAAATTTGTTTGAATGTGAACAATAAATCCGTGTTTATTGTGAAGAAGTGTTCAATATTTTCTTTTTTGCCGACGTCCACTTCATTACGAAACAGTTCTCGTTTCTGAGTGTCCATGTTTRCTAATGTTTTTCCTAATGTTTCCATGTTTTTTAACACAGTTACTATATAAAATAATGAATACTTCATGGAGTATACGTAATTTTGGTTGTTGTATTTTTTATGGAGGCCAGGAGTTAAAGAACTACTCAAGAAGAAAGGAGTGTACATGGAAATGAAATTTGCGTAAATCGTAGAGCAGCTGGGATTATATTTTTGTGACTTGGTAATAATTTAAGTGGGATTCGCTGTGGATGTTAACACTCCCTCTTCAATATGAGCTTGGCTGTTGGTCTGTCGGATAAACCTCTATAGTCAGTAATGTTTTTCTGCAACTAGTCGACATGTCCACTGACTCCAAAACSTGACCCTTCCTTTAAAAGCCTAATTCAATCATTTAATGCTTTGCTTTTTAGAAAGAAAGAAAAAAAAGAATAAGTACAATTAGTTAAAAGAAGAAAGAAAGAAAGAAAAACATTGTTTAGAAGCTG